CTCTCTCTCTCTCTCTCTCTCTCTCTCTCTCTCTCTCTCTCTCTCTCTCTCTCTCTCTCTCTCTCTCTCTCTCTCTCTCCATTTCCATCTCTCTGCTGCTGTATGCCTGCCTGTTTATACCTGTGTCTACATGAAAAACTGTATGCAGCTGTCAGTTTGTCTACATACAAGTGTCCACCTATCTGTGGCTGTCTTTCAGTCTGCCTGTAGCTGTCTGTTCATCTGTATGGTTGTTTCGGTCTTTCTGGCTGCCTGCAGCTGTCTTTATGGAATCACCTCTTATCAAATAGCAAATAACCCAGCACCCACAAGAGATAGAAAAAAACAGCACCCACAAGAGATGTCAGCGTCGTGGATGCCCCCAGAAGCCACAACTTAGGCCACAAGTGATAAAAGAGGGAAGAGGGACTGCAAGACCGAACACGTTCGTCCGGTAACCCCACACTCGTCTCCCTGAAAGGTGCACGTCCACAAGCATGTGTCGCAGCAACAACGCACAGCCGCTTTTGCCCTGTTCCCAAATGGGGGACCGTTTGTTTTCAAAATCGAAAGATAATCTCCTATTCTGGGGAGCAGCAGTCCAGTTCCTTCTCCACCAGCAAGTCAGACGGGATTACAAATGAAACTCAACCACGCTCCTCCCCATCATGGCTGGGAGGTCTGCCGCCCACTTGGATGTCCCAACTATAATGGCTGGGAGGTCCGCCGTTTGTATCTTGTCTGACTTGCTGGTGGAAAATGAACCGGACTGCCGCTCCCCAGAATAGAGGGAGCTTTGTCTTCATAAAAAAAAAAAAAAAAAAAAGAAGAAGGGGTACGGAGAGCATGCAGGTGGCAGTCTTGCATAGCCGTTTTTGTCCTCTTCACAAACAAGGAGGCGGGGAACAAAGAACAGTTTGTTTTCAAAATCAAAAGACAAAAAGAGGGGGAGGAGCAGGTTGCAATCTACCAGAAAGAAGAGGGGGGGGGGGGGGGGGAGAATGAGCTGCACTTGGCCTCTCTTCAAGGATGCTTTTTTCCTCTACAGGGCTGGATCGCAGAGACGGACACAAACACTCGTCAAGAATGATGTTCTCCTCTTCCGGGCTGTGTCGCGTAGGATGGGAAAAAGACAACAAGAGAGGACGGTTTGTCCTGCAAGGGCCACCTTCTTGCCACCACGTTCACTGAAACCTGGTTCACAGCATCTGATCTGGCCCACCCCCATGACCAATGCAGTAAATAATACTAAATATGTTACATGGGTTCTCTACAAAGAGTTCCTTTTCTACTCACAACTCTCTCTCTCTCTCTCTCATATCAGCCAATAAGCAGCATCAATGATGTGATGCGGATTTACATGGGTTCTCTACAACTCTCTCTCTCTCTCTCTCTCTCTCTCTCTCTCTCTCTCTCTCTCTCTCTCTCTCTCTCTCTCTCTCTCGCGCGCGCGCGCGCTCTGTCATATCAGCCAACTAAGCAGCATCAATGATGTGATGCGGATTGCACTCGACCTGTTGAGGCAGGTCTCCATGACAGGAGTTGCTTGACCAAAGACAAAAACTAACATGTGCCAATTTTGCAAAAAGCTGGTATACATCTGAAGACGGCAGAGAATATATAAGAGTCACACAATCTACCAACTAAGAGCATTCAAGTGAAGTAGAAGGAAGAAAATGGACCAAGAGAGGGTAAAACACCATCACCATAGTGCAACTTCTTCCATATCTGTGTGGTTGACAAGAAGCGCCCACACATCCGTCCACTTGACACACAGTCGCACTGTATAAGAAACAAATTGACATGCAGCCCCCCACAGTCTCTGACACCTGCTCCTCGACAAAGGGAATGTCACACTGCTACTATCTGCCACAACACTTAGCAGCTGTGCTTCAATTCACATCTTGCCTATGGCCGCGGGCCCCTCATGCAACACTGGAATCACTACTGCATAAGGCATCCTGGCCCCTCTCTAACCACATCTTCCAAAAGCAAGTACAGCCTGAGGAGAAAATACCCCAGTATGACAAGCTCTCTACATCTTCTTCTTCTTCTTTGGACCGTTTCTCAATTTGTGTGTGCCATCCTTGCGCAGGGGCCATGCTAATCTTCTCCGTATCATTCCAATTTTAACAGATGTCCCAAAGGACACAAACTCTCTACATCTCATCCAGCGGCCTAGCTCAGATGGTTAGGTGCACAAGTGGCATTCAGGAGGTTGTGGGTTCAAGCCCCTTGACCACCTGCGCCGCACTTAGTGGCAACCGACTGTGATAGTCCACTTGATACCCCTGATCAGTATTAACAGGGTCTATGACCAACACGGGTGTGAGTGTGAGCGTGCGCGGGTTGTGTGTGGTGTGTGGAAGAGCATTGGCCATAGCCACTGCCGCTACTTGATGGGGGGCTGGGGAAGTAGATGGGAGGGTAGGCACAGTGGTGGTGTCGTAGAGAGCGAGTCGATGGGCTGCACGAGCGGCACGAGCGCGGTTTCGGAGTTCACGCTGTTGGGGGTCACGGA